GTAGACATGTGGGGGCGTGTTAGAACGAGCTGTTTTAGTTAGGCGTGGTTAACTCTTAACTTTTATAAAGAATATCTCTTTGGATGAGACTTTAGTCTTTGCAACTTTACAGATCTTCTTTATGCACCAAGAGCTTGTAACACTCCAAAGAGAAAGGAAAAATTGAAATTGCATCATATGACCTCTTTAAGATGTCAGTTTTACATCATAAACATCTTAAAGACATCTTCTAAACGTCTATTTGACATCTGATAGGAAACGTCCTAGATATAGACGTATCGCAGGTGATCAAACTCTAAAAAATACGTCTTGCAGATGTAAATGCAGACGTCAAATAGACATCTCCGTGATGTACGTGTGCTATCAGAGCAGTTTTTCGCGTTGCAAATAAAGATGGTAGGCCTACAGTGTAGGCCCAAAAGCTCTCGCATCAAAAACAGCACGAGAGTCTCTGCAGCAAGCAAATAAAAATCTCCTGTGCAAACTATTCCCATTTGACATTATCTGAGCAATTCATCAATGTCAAATTTCATTCTTATGGGACTGAGCCGTATCTACTTAAACACCCTTTAACCAGCACCAGTGTCCTCTATATCTACTGAAGGCACATTACAATGCTCACCTTTAACCTAACCGTTCCACTCTCTGTTGACTTTTCGCGTCCTGAAGATTATTTGATATTTATTTTTCATATCCTGTTTGCCACAGGTTCGGCTCTGCTGGCAGGGTCAGTAGTCATCGGAATCATGAGCACCAGAGCCCTGCGCTCCCAAAACCGCTTCATCTTCATGTTAAACACCAGCATCAGTGACACTTTAACCGGCTGCTCTGTCTTCTACCTCGGCCTGTTTGACGTCCAGGAGGGCTATCCGTCCCGGAACGGCACTTATTACATTTTACCATCATTTCTAGGAGTGAACGTGTTGACATTTGTGTTTGCACAGTTTGATAGATACCTGGCAGTGTGTCACCCCTTCTTCTACAAGCGGTACATCACGCGCGGGGTTGTGATTGGCGTCTGCGCGCTCTGTTGGATTTACACATATTCAATTCTAACTGTTCAAAGCGTCGTGCCAGTTGCATTCGCCGCTCAAATGAACGCTTTTGGGGTCATAGTCCTGCAGGTGATCGTGGCCGTCAAAGTTTTAATGACCATCAAACTGTACATGATCACGAGGTATCAGCTCGGCCGAGAAGCGCCCGGCAGCGACAAGGACAGCAAGAAAGAATCGCTACGCATTATCGTTTTTGTGGTCATTTGTTTTCTCATCTTGTGGGCTCCGTCTTTTGTGAACATCTCGGTGAAATATGTCACTAAGAACGGACTGAGGTTCAAAAATGAAGCCACGAATCTTTTCGCGATCATGGCGCGATTTAACGCGCTCAGCACGCCCGCGCTGTACATCTGGGGCAGTCCAGCGTTACGCGCGGCGGTCTGGAACTCCGTGTGGAGTAAAGTATTCAAGAGAAGAAAGACAAGGTTTATTTCTGGGTCTGATTGTACGCAGGATACATGGTAATGGGAAATATGAGACGGGAGGGGAAAAAGTAGCCTATTGTTTTTCTCTAAGAAACGTTGCGCCCTCATGAGCACTTGATTATAGTTTTTTCCCCACAACAAAAGTTTCAAAAAGTTTCTCGGGGCAAACCAAACGAACACAAAAGCATTGCAATATAAATTTTCCTCCCATCTAATTTTGTTTTTACCCTCACCACGTCCCTTTAGGTGTTCTGCGTAACTGTGTCATTGAATATAATAAAATGTTCAAATGCATGCAGACACCTGTTAATAATATTGTAATGTAATACTTTTGTCAGTGTAGTACTATATTACAATCTAAAAGGGTTGATAAATTTCCTTAAAAGTTAACAAACATTATATGCAATAATTAGACAGATAAGAAGTTAATGTAGCCTACATTCAAAGAGGGTAAAAATATGCTCATAAAAATGCCCCCATTTTTTATAATTAGTCTCAGAATTTTTAACGCCACTGTATGACAATCCTAACATCACACATTTGACCACATTAACCAATCTGTTAAACATTTATTTTATTATTAATAATTTAATAACCTGAGTTTTGCATACTGTACCTAATGCCTTTGTGTCTGTCTTTTAAAACAGGGTTGACTATGGTCATATGAAACCCAGAAAGGGAGGAGAGAGAATCCTCAGCATCACATAGAGCATCAGAGAAACACCAGCATCGAGGACTCTCCAACTATCTGCTGAAATGCTGAAATGATCCAAGCCATTACAACAGAGCAGCTAAAAACATAAAATGCCAAATTTCACATCTTTTCACAATAAATGTTCTCTTAAGTTATATGACAAGATTCTTATCAGGATTTTTGAAGAATGTCTGATTGAAGTCTACAGGTCCATTTTTTTATGAAGTGACCTATTTTATGGTCGCCGTGATTTTGCTCAAGTAAGACATCAACATCTTTTATTGATCCTGAATCAACATTACTGTCCAAAAATACAGACTTGACCCAATCCCTACCCCTAAACCTAACCTTACCCATAATTTATTCCTAAAATCAGAGGGAAATGATAGCTGATTAACAAGGGTGTAGAAGCACCTAATCCTGATTGTAAGCCTAAAACTGATATTTCCTGAAAAGTTATCCCTCAATTCTGATTGGTTGATTGGAATGATGTTCCAGGATCACCAAGGATGTTGATCCAAGAACATGTTGTACGTCAAATCACGTTCACCCTATTTTATATGGTTGGTCATACACATGTACAATCTCTATATGAACCGAAAACCGAAATGTAATGTAGGCTATTAACGAAAATCTTGACCTTGGCCGTTGCCCTGATGGCACACGTACATCACGAGACATCTATCTGATGTCTGAATTTACATCTGCAAGATGTATTTTTAGTGTGTGCTCATCTGCATATGTCTATAGGACGTTTCCTATCAGATGTTAAATAGACGTTAAGAAAATGTCTTTAAGATGTTAGAATGTATGTAAAACTGACATATAGCAGATGCTTTCCAGATGAAGCGATCTTTAACAGACATCTTGCAGACGTAGGCCTACGTGTTCTATCTGGTGGTTTCTGAATGTTCACGTATTAACGCAGCAGTTCAATCCGAATGAAAAGCACACAATTTGCGATACATCGAGACTGATAAAAACACGAGAAAAAGTATCTTCACTGAGTTGATCTCCAGACCGGAACTCGGTCAGAACTTCTTGTTGCGACGAACACAATGTTCACCTCAGAGAAGAGAGCACATGGACTGTATTTTGTGTCTCGTTTTCATTATTCTTGATTTCTCACAACTTGTATGCTTTTTCTGGGTGAGCCGGCGTGAGAACTGCTGAGCTAACAGTCTCATGAACACGCAGCTGTGTGCAGAAACCAACGACAAAGGTCAGGATTTTTGCTAAATAATACATTAAATTTCGGGTTGCTTTTAACCAAACCCACCACTCCCAGCAAATTAGCTACAAAATAAAGGGTAACTTCACATATAAAAGGAATATGAAAGGAAAACAATGCATTTTAACAATTAATTGTTACTTGTATTGTTAATAAAATGTTATCAATCACAATTTTTTATGATTCATTTAATAAATAATTCGCCCAAAATGTCACAAGGATCTTTTCTAATATTTTCCCTTCTAATTAAGCTGTGGGTAACCTCTTCCGTAATGTTTTATTGTTACTCATATTCAGGGGCGCCGCTAGCAATTTTGGGCCCTATGAAAGAATATGAGGTTGGGCCCCCTACCGCACCAAACATACACTATATTGCCCAAAGTATTGGGACTCATCACCAAACATCTGTGACTTGTACATACATATGGACAAAAGTATTGGGACACCCCCTTCTTTAGAACAGAAAAAGGCACTTCCAAAACTGTGGCAACAAAAATGGAAACATAATTCATATATTTAAAAATGGTATTTCCAGTTTTGGAAGTGTCTAAAATGATTGTACGCATATGTACAAGTCATTGGTGTTTGGTGATGAGTTTTTGGCTCAAAGTCTGCATTTAAAGTCACACCAGAGGTGTTTATCTGGGATTAGGACTTGGCTTTCTGCAGACCAGTCAAGTTCTTCCACACTGACTGAATCAATTTATTTATTTATTTATATTAACCTCGTCTTATACACAGAGGCATTGCCGTGTTAGAATAGAAAAGGGTCCTGTTCAAACTATTGGTATAAAATTAGAAGCACACAATTCCCTAGAATATCATTATATGCTTAAACATTAAGATCTGTACTCACGGAAAAACTAAAGTAGTCAAACCTGTTCATTAGAAGGGGGTGTCCCAATACTTTTGGCAATATATTGTGCAAGCCAGCCTAGCTATTCAAAATCTTTGTCTGCCGTTTAATAATATTGACCTATTACTTTTGACCATTAGGTATCAGTAACATAATTCATTCAGAACCTGTTTTATGGACATAGACTTTCTGTACCACACTATCCTGCTGATATGGAATGAGTTTGACTACTTAATCAGTTATATTAATAGAAATGCTTCACTGGGGCAAACAAAAAAATCCTAAAATAATAAATAGGATACCCCATAACACCAGCATTTCCAGCAGTATCCAACATTTCTCAATCGTGATCTTACTCAGCTAAATGTGACTATTAGCTTAACAGCTGTATTCCTTGTTTGCTAGCTACTTATGCACATACAGCATACCATGTTAAAAATGTTCTACATTATGAACATTTTAGCTTCCAAAAACCTTTAGCTTCATACACTGTAGATAATTGTGACCCTGCCTGTGGAAACCCAGCTAAAGTTTTTTTTTTAAACAGTTGATGAGTAATTCACTCCTTGATTTGCTTAAGATCGTTTTGACAGACATGTTTATTGTGTATTATTATGTTTTCAACGTGTTTATTGCTAAGTTTAGTGTGGCGAAATAGAAGCGCAGCCGTAATTCGCGTGCAGTGTATCTGGTTGCCATGACAACCTCACGCGCTTCCTGCTGCTGCTCGATGTAAT